GTAAGCCTGGAGTGTGCCGGTGGCTCGAGTTGCTGGGCTTGGGGGCACAGACACTAATGGTCGATTCGGCTCCGGGGCAGCTCCGCGGAAAGCCCCCTCTGCCCAGGCTCCATGGCCCTGGAGCTGTTAATCTTTGCTGCTGAGAGTTATTTCAAGCAACCCGTGTGTCCAAATCCCTCGGACGAGCTGCCTGGGTGCTAAATCTCAGGCCGCCGGGTTGCTCTGGGGCGGCAGATAAACAGGGCAGTGATTTATGGCCCGGCAGGGTTACGGCAGCCGCGGCGGGAGGCTGCGATCGCCCTGCACCAGCTCGTGTTAAGCCGTCAAGTCGTCTCATGGCGCCGTGTGAGGAGCTGGGGCACGGCGGCAGCGTCGCCAAGCTCCTGCGAAGCCTCTTGGCGCGCGAGGAAGCGGATCGAGTGCCTCGTCTTGGGCTTGGTTTCCGGCGCGCCGCCGCTGACCCCGGGTGGCCCCCGCGCGCTGAGCCGCTCTCGTGTGCTCCCTCCAGGCTGAGGCAGAAGTGGCCTCTCTGAATCGCCGCATCCAGCTGGTGGAGGAGGAGCTGGATCGGGCGCAGGAGCGGCTCGCCACTGCTCTGCAGAAGCTGGAGGAAGCAGAGAAGGCCGCGGATGAAAGCGAAAGGTGAGCGGGGCTCGGCGACGCGTCCAGGCGTGTTTGTGACCGCGGGCCCTGTGCCAGGAGCCTTGTGGCCTCTCCGGAGGGTGGGAAGTAATCGCCACCTCAAGGCTGCACGTGAGGATTGGCAGCCGCTTATGTGGAGCCTCTGAAACAACCCTGTGCCCTCATGGAGCGCTCTTAGACCTGAGGAGAGAGGCAGGGGCTGTGGCTGCCGTGATCCCCGCGCTGAGCAGGGAAGCGCGGGGGCTCTGGGAAGTGCTTGGACAAAATGGCTGCTGGGAGAGGGGGAAGCTCTTCCTGCTGCTCCTGCCGGGAGCCTCTGCTCTGGCAGAGGTCCCTGCTAACCTGGCCGGGTGATTCAGAGGGGAGTGGTCCCGGCAGAGCGTTTCCAGTTGCTGGATGTGCTTCTTCCACAAGCAGCCTGCCCCGGCTGATGGTGCCATAATGACAGACTTGGCTCTTGCCAGCTCAGCCTGGAAAGTGCTCAGTTCAACTGTGCAGAGCTCCCAGAGGGCCCTGCTTGTCCTTCTCAGCAGCTCCCTGTTTCCCTTGATTGGGAAGCTTCTGGAAGAAATCCTCCCGGAGAGGGTTTATTCGGACAATCCCGTTTGCTCTGCTTGCAGCAGCGTGGCAGTGTCTGTCTCGTTGTGCTGCCCTCCACCCGGAGGTCCCCGCGCATGGGGAAGTGGCAGTGCTCCCATGGGAGCCCCGTGGTGCTCTGGAATGTGTTACACTCCTGCTGCCTTGCACACAACTGGCTTAAGCATCTCCCCTCGCTGCTCTTTCTCTCGGGCAGAGGCATGAAAGTCATTGAAAACAGAGCCCTGAAGGATGAGGAGAAGATGGAACTGCAGGAGATCCAGCTCAAGGAAGCCAAGCACATCGCCGAAGAGGCGGACAGGAAGTATGAAGAGGTGAGGATCTCGGCTGCTCCACTTGGATGCTCCTCCGCCAGGAGAGGCGGCTCCGCTTCCTGTAGCCGGGACTTTCCTCGGCAAACCTGGGGGAAGCCTGGCTCGCAGCAGAGCTGCTCCAGTGCTGCCTCTTGCCAAGAGGCTCTGGCCGCTCCAGCAAGCGTTTCCTCTACTGCCTTGCACAGCCTGTGAGGACAAAAATGCCTTCCTGTTAACTCTGGCTGTCTTTCAGGTTGCTCGGAAACTGGTGATCATAGAGGGAGACCTGGAGCGTACTGAAGAGAGGGCTGAGCTCGCGGAGTCGTGAGTATATCTGCTTGTGTATGACTTGCATGTCTGCCTCTGCATGACACTAACACTAACAGAGCACTTCTAACTTTGTTACACAAGGCCGAAGTATGGGATGGGTTTAGATCTTCAGGTGAAACTTGGAAACAATCTGCTCTGAGGAGGATTAAGTCCCCTGAGAGTGTGGAGCCTCAGAGCTGGTGCGAGTTGCCTTCTTGTTGAGATGTTCAGCCTCTTTGCATGGAGCGACTTCCGAAGCCGTGAGGGCCCGGAGGATCCTCCTCCACGCAGTGTCACCAGCACCGCTTTGTACGCCCACCAGCTCCTTGCCTGCTGCTGCGGGGCACCCGAGCACAGCGCTTGTTCTAAAACTGCCCAGGCCTCCTGAGCAGGGAGGGCAGCAGCGTGCGCACTGGCAAAGGCTGCTCGGAGGCCACCCTCTTGGAAAAACATGCAGCAGCCGCTAGAGACTTCTGCAGTGCCCTGCTGAGCAGCAGGCTGACCTTGCTCTGCTTGGAGCAGAGACACCGACTGCGTCGTCCGGGTGCCTTAATGGATCCTTAATGACTTGGTCTGGGCCTTGTCTAACAAAGCGTGGATGCGGTAATAGCGCTGTGCTTCCTGCCCAGACATGCATGTCATGACTGTGATGTTTTTGGTTTTTCTTTTTTTCCCCCATCCTTTTTTTTTTTTGCTCTGCTTTGTTACTTGTGGTCCTTTTTTGCCCCTTGTCCCACCTGGCTTGTCCCATCATGCGACCGTCACTAACAGTCGTTGCCGGGAGCTGCAGGAGCAGATCAGAGTGATGGACCAGAACTTGAAGTGTCTGTCTGTTGCCGAAGAAAAGGTACTAACCTTTCCCTTCTCAAACCATTAAACCAAAGCTCTTGTGGTCCTCGTCTTACACTCCTTCCTCTGCCTAATTGCATTTCTTTCTCTCTCCTGGTATGCTCTGTCCTCTCTGACCATAAATAACTGTCTGACTGGATGGCAGCTGCTCAGCCATGTGTCAGAACTATCCCCGCCTACAGCAAACTAAACTTGCAACTTCCACTTGAAGACTCCAGCACAAATCTGTGTCCACATCTCAGCTGCTCAGTTCAGTGCCTTGTGCCCATGCCAGTAGATTACTTAAAGTGTGAACTTGGAGGCTGGGAGGGAGCTTGCTTCCTGCAGAAGTGCCTTTGAAGCAAGGTCTCATCTAGTCTGACCATTGTCTCCTAAAAAACTCCCTGGTCTTCCCTGCACATGGATTCACTTCTCATCTCTTCTGTCTTTCCTTCCCATTCTTCTTCTTCCCCGCCCCCACCCCCTTTACAAAAATCCACAGTAAGTGTTCCGAGCTGGAGGAGGAGCTGAAGAATGTCACCAACAATCTCAAGTCTCTTGAGGCTCAGGCTGAGAAGGTAGGGCTGTTTTCCAAAGGCTCAGAAACCTTTCTCTTTTGCTAGAGGAGTGTGTGGCTGCGGAGCACCCCCTGGGATGGAAATGCTGCAGGCGTGGAGTGGTGCTTATTCTCTCAGCTCTGTGGCTCCCAGGAGAACTAACGGATTCTAGCGCAGACATAATGTTGGATTCCAGAAGCTGGGAGCATGGGAATGATGACTGCCCTTCCCTGCCTTGAGGCAGATGCGAGCGGCCCGAGATATTTATGCTGCTTGAATGTGGGCTACGTATATTATCTGTGCCCGACTTTGTTGTGTGTGTGGTCTGGGACTTGCTGCCTGACCCAGTTCTCTTGCCCCAGAGCAGGGGTGTGAATAACTATCAGTTGGAAGTTCCTGGGGGCATGTAATGTACAGCAAGGAGTTTGGCTCCCCATGTAGCTGCAAGATCTCTGGAGTGGGAGATAACTGGGGCTGCTCTTTGACATTCTCCTCTTCCACAGTACTCCCAAAAAGAGGATAAATATGAAGAAGAGATCAAGATCCTGACTGATAAACTCAAAGAGGTAAGTGACCGTATCAGATTTTCTGCTCCTTTGCTGCATGTGGAGGCTGTTGCACTGACTGACTTGCTCCTGTCTGGCAGGCAGAGACTCGTGCTGAGTTTGCTGAACGGTCTGTGGCCAAGCTGGAGAAGACCATCGATGATCTGGAAGGTACATTCTGGGGATGGGGAAGCCAAAGAACATGTGAGGAGTGGGGAGATGAGGAAGGCAGTCTATCACATGTCTGGAAAGTGGAAGCTCTGCTCTTGGAGTACAGTCAAACTCAGCCTGCAAGGTGAGGTTGGAGTCTCTCTGGGCTTAAGAACTGTGCCCAGTGTATTTGCTCTTAAAATGAGGCTGGCTGCAGCACAGCCAGGAAGCAGAGTTCTTGCCCTGAACATCTTGCCATATCTGCCTCACAGTAACAGAAAGCATGGATGGTAGAATCCTGCCTGTGATGTCCTCAGGAATTTCAGTGGATTACTCCTGTTAAGGAGTGGGGTAGGAAAACCCAACTGAACTCAACAGGAACTGGCTTCAACAACCTGCCTTTGTGCAGAAGTGCACGCACGGGGCTGCCTGCTGCAGACAGGAGTTAAGTCATGAGCTAGCCCCAAGAAGATTCAAGGAGCCCAAGCGCAGTCCTGATTCAAGACTAAATCACCTGAAGCTCCCTCCATGCACTTTTTGCCATGGTTGGGCTGCTCTCCTGTTTTTGACTTCATGGTACTTAAACCATGTGATGCCTGACTTCAGAATCCTGCTTCTCTGCAAAGGATGGGAAGAGAAGGTTCCAGTTACCTGTTTTAGATCTGGGGCTGTGGCTGAGTCCGCTATAGACAGCGGTGGATGAAGTGTTGGTGCTGGCAAGCCAAAAATCTTAGTGGCCCCCTGCCTTGACCACAGCATGTGCCTTAGTGATCTGTCAGTGCCGGATCTTGGAAACTCAAAGCTGCGTTGTTCCAGCTGGAGTTGCTCAGGAGTTTTATCTAGAAATAGCAATGGTGTCAGCTGAACTGTTCCAGAACTGCAGCCAAGCAGCGATCCCAGCCAACTCATGATCCAGGGCAAGCCCTTATTGGGAACTGCAAAACTCCAAGTCCATGCATGCTTCCCTTGATAGGGAGAGTTGGCTCCAGTCTGCAGTCTTGTTACTGAAGTGACCTAGTTTATGACAACTGACAAAGTTCTCTGGGCACTGTGAGACAGTTAACAACATAAACAGCCGTGCCATAGCCTAGGCAGTCAGCGTTGGGCAAAGTCTGCCAGCTCTGCACAGTCCTGACGGAGAGCACTGAGTTTCAAGCCTGCCTCCTCCACTGGGTGTGAGTGATGTGCTCCACTATCTTATGAAGAACGCGGGTGTGGCCTGTCTGCTCCGCTTATCCTGCCTGCTGCTGTGGGCACATAATGGGAATTCCCTCTGGTGCCCAGGACTATTGCTTAACTGCCTTCTCCCAAACAGGTTTTGTACTGAAACGGAAGGTGAGAACAAAGCACTTAATTGATTTGTGCCTGCCTTTGGTTTAGCAATCAGATCATCTCCTTAAGAAGTGGAGTTGCCCTTCCCTGGTGCTCCATCTGTCAGTGGTTCCTGCTGACCTAGCAGAGCAGCTTGTTCTCACAAGCTACTGTGGTTTGAGCTCTTGGCTTTGCTCACCTTAGAGCTGCCTCGTAATCTGGAAGACACTTGCTGGTCAGCCTGTCCTCCAGCTGTCAGAGCCCTTTCACTCACTGCCCAGGAATGAATAGAGTTGTAAAGTCTCCACATCTGACTTCATTTTCTTCTGTTAGTGAGTCCCGTACTGCTTTTCCTGCCCCAGGGTGTTGGAAGAAGTCTGCCTTCCCTCATTGTCTCCCTTTTGTTCTCCTCCTAAACCTCTTCTAGATGAGCTCTATGCCCAGAAACTGAAGTACAAAGCAATTAGTGAGGAACTGGACCACGCCCTGAATGACATGACTTCCATGTAAATATGAGCTGGGTGGTGTTTGCCTCTCGCTTCAGCAGGCTAGACCGCCAGAGCTTGCTTGGTTTGCTGTGATTTCCATAGCCAGTGAATCAGTGGTGCTGTGTCTAGGTTACTTCTACAGATCTCTGCCTCTAGGACCGTGGAGGCTTCCTTGGAGCATGCTGCATTCTAACTAATGTGATCTGCATGTGTAATCCTGAGTGCTGCGCTGGCCTCAGAGTTCTGACCTGAACTTGCTGAGCTATGCCAAGGAATGCACTTCCCAGTTGCACTGGAAAAGGCTTCCTAAGGTAATGCTGCTTCATTGCCTGCTAGAGCAGTGCGCCACGGTCTCAGGATTCCTTTTGGAAGAGGCTGTGGTTAGTGCTCAAGTGGATTCCTCGGGAATCATCCTAATAAGCCTGAGATGGAGTGGATCATGAAGTGATCTGTGGAAGTAGCTGAACTTGTGTGTTTCTGCAACTTGGCTACTTAGCTTTTTTCAGATTTGCTGTGGATTCTGCTAACAGCTGCTCTGCACAGACCTTCCTACTAACCAAGGAAAGGCCAGGTACTTGTGTGTTAGAGGAAGAGCCTTAACAGTAGCATCTGAAGGCTCCCTGAACAGTTTGCCGTGCACAAACTCTGAAGCCTCTCGTAAAATTAGTGTCTCCTTCTGTTTCACACAGATAAGTCTTTCGATTCCAAACTCCACTTTGGATTTGCCTCTCTGCTTGATGGCTTGTTCTGCATCTGCACCCTGCATTCGTGCTCTCGTCATCTCACTCTGACTTCCAGTACCTTTTTCCAGTTACTGTGTGCAGGGCATCTGAGAACGAGTGCTGTAAAGACGCTGAAATTGACAGCAATAGCGGCCCCCCAGTTACACTGCACTTGCTTTCCAACAAAGTGCTCTCTGTTTGACCCAATGTGCCAGACACTGCTGTGCTCTGAGGGGCTGCCCTTTCAGTGTCTGGGTGTAGCCTGGGAGGATGTCGTGTTCTCATCTGCATATCTTGTGTGGAGCCATAAAGCTCCTTTTGTATTTCTCTTGCCTCTTGCTTGAGCATGATGTCACCTTTTTTAAGAAAAACAACTCTTGTATAAAATGAATGGAGCGGCTGGTGCTTTTGAGAAATGGATTTCTAGTGACCACTTGCTGCTTTAGAGTAACTGTTTCAATGTTGCCTTCAAATCAGTGTAATCTTCATTGTTGTGGATGGAATACATAACTTGATTAATGCACTGAATTTTTTTATCCTTCGGGTGTCGTCTTGGCTCACGTGTGAATTGCAGCTCTGCAAACAGTGGCTCAATGCACAGCATGCTCTGTAGGATCACCTAGGATGCTTGTGTAGCAGAAAATCTTCAAGCTGTGTCTGCTTGAGTCAGGCTGAAGTCACTGCTCCCACTTGACCGATGCATTCACAGGCATCAGTTGCCTCATGCTGCCTTGCAGGGGGAAGTTACCACATTTGATAGTCACTAGATCACTGGCAGGGTGCAAAAGCTAATAAAGGTCACGCAAATTCTTGTGGATTCTAGTCGGAGAGGGCTGGCTGAGTGCTGCAGTAGCCTCTGTGAGGCTCGTGTCCTGGTGCCAGGGGATCCAAGCGTGGCCCCCTTCCTGCTCCCTGGGCAGGGGGCTGCGGAGGGCAGGGTGCTCTGGGGAGCATGGCATGGAGCCTTGCACCGAGCACTGCAGCTGGTGGCAGCCTGCAAGCACTGGACACGTTTCACTGCTGATGTGAATCTGTTGCTGATTATTTTGGTACCATAAGCACTGAACAGTCTGACATAAGTGTTTGTGCTGCCTCGTGGTGGCTTGTCAAATACTTTTTTTTCCTTCCTGGATTGATTTGTCTGCCATAGGGCCCGAAGAGCCCTTCATGAGCCGAGTTTTGGTGAAATGGGACAGCCTCTGTGGTTTCCTGATCCTCAGGTTTGTTTGCATTTGATTCTCATGCACAAGTGGCACTAACAGTAAGCACAGACCAAGCACACTGAACTACCTCAGCCTTTTCTGACTCCTGTATCAGGCTGTCTCGTCTCTGCTAGACACTTCTGCAGGTCTGAGCAGGGAGCTATCTTGCTGGGGATTCCAAGGGTAATAATTTGGAAAGCTCTGCAGATGGTCTGGTTTTCCTGGGATGTAGGAGGTAGCTCTGTGACATGTAACCAAAAAGCAGGAATCTGCAAAGAGCAAGAATCTAGCTAAACCTGCAGCTTAATAAGGGGGGCTAGTTCCTGTGTGAGGGGGCAGCAGGGCTTGTCACAAATACAAAGGGGAACAAATTCGGTTGCCAGCCCCTCCTGAGATGGATGTGGCACCACATTTGCTGCCCTTGTGAAATGGCCTCCCTTCTTGGTGGGAGGTCTTGTCAATCACAGGTTTATTAGTACCTTGCATGCAGTGTGGAGCAGGTGGCTGTGCTTTGGCACAGCAGTGTTGCAAATGATGCTATCAAAGGCTGGGCTCTGGCAGGGCCTCCTGATGCTAGCCTTGATAGAATCCACACTAGGTGGTGGATGAATGTGTGGGTGAGGCAACTGGTGCCCTGGGAGGCTTTGAAAGGCTTCTGGTCTGACTGGATTGCTAGGCTTGTATGGGCTGGTTAGCAGGAGCTGGGCTGTTGACTCGGGAGTGCTGCAAACACAGATCAAGTGACCAGGAGGCACAGGTCCTGGAGCTCCCCGGAGGTGCAAACATGACCTCAGGCTGCCCTGCAGGTTGGGTGGGGAAGGGAGAAGGCCAACCTACAAAGAAGCTATTCCTGAGGTCTGGAAAGGGTCATGCCAATTACTCAAGTCAGTCTGCTCATGCGGGTGAGTCGTCATGTCTGTGTCCACAAATGTGGGGCACTTGGGTGAAGGCCAGCAGCTGCTGCACCAGCTTAGTCACCCATCCATCAAGCTCTATCCATCACACCTCATTCCCATCCTGTGCTGTCCTAGAGATCTAGGACTGGCTCTGGTCACCTGGGGTGACATCAGGGTGCCGAGCATACCTGCTTAGAGACAGCACAGAGGTGAGATGTTGCGAGAGCCTGGCAGTGGTAGCCTACCTGCATGGCAGGCATAGGCCAGCATGGGATGGCTGTCTCCCATGCCCCAGCTTCCTTCCCAGTTAGTAACAACTAACCTCGTGTGGCACAAAGTCACGTTGTTGGCTAGAAGATGCTGCTGTTCTCAGCCTTGCTGTCCTTAGAGCTCTCTGGCTCCCTGTACTATTGCTACTACACCTTCAATCCCACTGCTGTGTGGAATTGTGCTTTCTGAAAGGTAGTTCTGGCCCAGTCAAATCTGGACTACCTCCTTCTGCAAAACATTGCACAAGCCTAAGGCACATCCTTATTTTCTCCTTACCTGGGTCCAGTTTAGCCCAGTCTACAGGTTCCTTCTCTAGTATTCGTTTCTTCTTCCTCTGCCTTCGTAAGCCCTTGGCAGCACTTGCATTTCTGCCTGCACTTGGCTCCCAGTGTGATCTTCCTGAGCAGAAAAGTGATTTGGATTAAGACAAACTTTTGTTCTGCCTGTCTTCATGTATGTAATAGCCTAGACTTGATCCTCAGAGGCATATGTTATGGAGACAGGTTATTTATGTGCTCATCTTGGTACTCTACTAACCTTCCCTTTCTCTCTCTCTCTCTTTTCCTCTCTTTTTTTCCCCCTAATCCTCCTGTTGCTGCTGCAGAGCGCCTGTACAGCCAGCTTGAGAAAAATCGTCTGCTCTCTAACGAGCTGAAGTTAACGCTGCATGATCTGTGTGACTGAGAAGGGGGCCCACTAATGCCATTAAACAAGCTTATTGCGACCACCAATGCTGTGGACCACAGTGAAATCTGATCACTTTTAAGACTGGCAGACTTGCAAATTCTGTGCATTTGCTGCTATTTAATGGGGCAGTTGAAGTCGATCCTCTAATGTACTTTATTTAAAAGCTTTTTATAAAAAGGTAACCTCTGTTCTTGATGAAGTAACCCTAGGATGTGGCTGTTTTCTGAACAGTCATGTTCGCTAGTACAGCGGGGCCTGCCCGGCTCCTTCAGGGAGCCAGAACGGTGCCCACCAGCAGAGAGGGGTGGGGAGGAGCTCGGCGGATGTCTGTTAGATAACCTGTCCTGTCCAGCGCTACGACTTTACTGTTAGCTGAATGACTGTAGCATTTCCTGCTGCATGGAATGATGGCTTCTAACAATAAACTGCTGACCGTGTGGTCTGTAAGGCACTGCAAGCCTGTAGCATCTTCATACAGTAGAGCTCTAACCTAGGTTTGAGGGAGGAGGCTGTTTCTGGGACCTGACCCCACCACAGATGCAGAGTCCCAGAGTGAGATGGGAAAACTGATGGAATCTGGAAAGCCAGTCACAAAATACATGGTGGAAAGCTGTCTCCTGAGTGCCTCCAGGGAGTCTTTAAATGCTGCTGCCGCTAGTGCCCTAGGAGGGCTGCTTTCTGCTCTGTGCTTAGTGCATCATTTCTGGACCACGAGCCAGTTGCTGGTCAGACCCTCAGTGCTGACCTCAGGAGGGAGGTGGTGGGGAGCATCTTGGAGAAACTGCCTGTGCCTAAAGGACATCTTTCCACAGCTTGTCTATCCAGTGTCCCAGCGTGCGGATTTCTTCAGAGATAAGGGTGGGCTGTCCTTTGGAGTAAAGCCTACCTAGAGGGCTAGTTGCTGGTCTGAGCTCTCCTCCTGGCTTAAAGAACATGTGAGAACTGACTGTGCAAGCTCCCTGTAGTCCTGGGCAGAGTTGCAGCACCCTTGCTCCTACTTGCTCACTGCCTGCTGTTCACTGAGAAAAGCCTCTCTCCTACTTGTCCTTGAGGCATGGTTGTCTGCTACCTGCTGCTAGGTAGTACGGTCTTGGTGACCAGCTTGGCATCTCTGTGCTCTGCTAGGGGAAATGGGGGCACAGCCAGCTGTAATCCTGGGAGGTGCCTTCTCCATGTATTTTATCTCTGAGTTGCTTTTGGGTGGCTTGTGGGGCCCTGGGCAAAGCTAGCTGCAGTCCAGGGCACCTGCATGCAAACTACTACCTGGAGCACTAGCTTAAGGTACATCGTGACCTTGCCACTCGGGAGCACCGCCAACGCGAGAGAAGGGCTACAGATGAGCCAGGTAACTCCGGAGCTTCTGGCTGCAAATAGCCAGGCACCCAGAAACGGAGAACCTAGCTATGGCAGTGTGCTGGGAATGGGCTAGCGCAAGCTTTCTCGGCAAAGGCTTTCTGGCTGTTTTAAGCTGACTTGTAACTGTAACTCTTGCTTCCCACCAGATAAACTGAAATCCACCAAAGAGGAGCATCTCTGCACGCAAAGAATGCTGGACCAGACCCTGCTAGACCTGAATGAAATGTAATGGATCCCTGCCACTGCCTCTGTCACGCCATGCCAGTGAGGGCCAGCCCAGCCACTGCTGCCCTCTAACCCTTGGGGACCACGGTTTACCTTCGGTTGCCAACTTGACCAAACATTAATCTTCCACTTCACCTTAGGGTTAGAGGTCATCAGGTTGGGCAGAGCTTGAAGCAGCATTATTAAGGGAAATAAACAATGCAATAATGTTGGGGGAGCATGTTTGAGATGTATACATTTCGTAACTACCTTTTTTTGTAGCAACCATTGTAAACATTCCAAATAACTGAGGCTCACGAGCTACATACACTTTAAAGCTCTCAGCTTTAAAATTTGGTATTAACCTTCTGTTACTCTGGTAGCTCTGGGATGCCCTGCATGGGCAGGGGAAGGAGGAGGGGGTGACAGTTTCTAGTAACCTGGCTAGGAATGGAAGCCAGTTGAGAAATGTTGCTGCCGCATCCCCTGCTGGTCCTTGATGTCCTCTCCAGAAGCTGTTTGCCAAAAGCACAGCCCAGTTTCTCAGCTTTAAGGTAATGCTGTGTTGTGGAGAAGCAATGTAAGCAGGAGACCTTTTTTTTTTTCTTTTAAAAAACAAAAAAGCTGAGTCTATTACCAGAATGTTTTCATTTTTCACGTGGTTGTTGTGTTTCTTTTTCATTACTTTTTCATTCCCCACACTATTGGCCCCTTTCTTTCCCCTGTGGCTTTAGAAAAGCCATGGCCCCTCTAACCTGTTGCTACCCAGGGGTTGAATTTGCCTTCACTAAGTGCTGATGTACCAAGCTTGATCACTCATTGCTGGATTCAATTTAACAGCTTAAGTACAAAAGTCGTGTTTTCTTTGAGATGTTTTGTGTACCCTGATTGAGGATGGGGGGGGAAAAAAAACAAAGCCTTCCTTCCCAGCCAGGTGTGCTCTTAAGTGATTAATGTCTTAATGAGGTACAAGCCATCCTGCAGTGCATTGGTGTGTTGTTGTCATGAGGCGTGAGTGTGGAGATGTGCCAAGCTCGCTGTGTGTAGCTTGTGGTTTAAGCATGCTGCTTGGTCAGAGCAGTTTTAGGGGCCAATCTGGAGGGAAAAAGAAAAAAAAAAGGAACCCTTTCAAATGTTTTGATACTAAAATTGAGGAGAAAAACAAAAAAAAAGGGAAAATTTTTGTCTTACTCTCTTTTGAAATAAAACCACCTCCCTCCACAGTGGTGTGTGTCTCGAGTGCTTCCCGTGTGGTCTCCTTTTGCGGCTTCTTACCGGGCACGGTACGCTAAGGGCGGGCGCGCGGGGATGTGGTGCGGGGAGCGGGTCCTCCCGGTTTTACCTCAGCGCCGCGGAGCCGAGGCGGGATTTTCCCCCCGCTGACGGGGGGGCGCAGCGCGCATGCGCTGCGCCGGCGAGGCCGTCCCTCTGCGCATGCGTCATGCCGGAAGGCGGGAAGGGGGCCCTGCCGCCGCCGCCATTTTGCGTCTGCTCTGGCAGGATGAGGCAGGCTCAGGTGTCTGCGCTCCTCTGCGTTCTCTCGCTGTTTCTGGCGGCTGCCTTTAAGCTAAACGTTCCCAAAGTGTTGCTGCCTTTTAGTCGGGAGCTCCACGTTCCTTTTGTGCTAGAGGCTGAGGGTGGCTGTTACTCTTGGTGAGGAAGAGGAGGGGTGCTAAGGGATTTATTATCCTTGCAGAGAGGAGTACTGCGTTGAGGGAATAGGATGGAAGCCTTTTCTGGATAACAGGACTGGATAAACGTACAGCTAAGGAAAGGTTTAAGAAGGATGGAAAGATAGCGTGTTCTTCTGGGCTAGGGTAGTGTCAGGGGAGCACAAAAATCTGTCTTGTTTGGCTGTGAGAGGCCTGTTTGGTCAGAGCAGGCAATGTTTGTTCTAAGGCTCTAATCGTTACTCTGTGTCAACACCAAAACATGGGGGAAGGGAGGGAGGCAGAAGCTGTTGGCCTGGTGCACCTTTGGAACTCAGTATGTTAGCTGTGCACTCAGAGTAGTATATTTGAAAAGGTTGCTATAGGAATAAGTATGAAAAAAGTGTTTTGAGTTTTTTTAAGCACACTTATAGATACCCTTCTGAGTGGAGGTGGGGGGGAATCTTCCTTTCAGGTACTCCACTCATCACGATATAGTCAACGTTGAGCCCATTTATGGTAACAGTACCATTTGTTCACAAAAAGCGTTGCTGTCCGCTCAGTCTTCGCAAGCCACAAAGTTAAGCAGCGTTGTGATAGCTGAGGAACGCGGTAGGTGGAAAAGGGGGAAGTTTCATAAAGCAGCAAGTAATTTGGGAGTTGGGGCTGTTTATGGAAATCAAGGGTTGTCCGTGTAGATTTTAAGGAGGAAATTATTAAATTGTTCTAAATATTGCAAAATAAGGTTGCAACAGAGTTTCATATCAGGCTTATTCTATTGAGAAACCTACAGCAACATCTTATTTTGGGTCTGTGGGAAAGGGTGGTCTTCCTTTTTGTTTCCTTCCCCGCCCTGTAGTTTCTGATGATGTTTTTAAGCCAATACAAAATTGCAGATACTGAATAAAAGATTATTCATTCTTTCGTTATAGTGACAGGCCACTTACTTCGCTGTGATGTCATTGTTGATGTGATAGATAGTATTGAAATTGTCTCCCGAACTCGAGAGATCTATGTGGAAGACTCTCCGTTGGAACTAACTGTGAGAGCTCTGGATGTTGAAGGTATTGCTTGGGAGACAAGTTCTGCTGCTATAATTCCAAATTTAAGCTCTTATTCCTGAGAAAGAAGTTCTTATTTACTGTCTTTTCTTCATACTGGGTGATACTGTTTAGAATTGGTATTACTGGTCCAAACATTAGAAATCCAGGCAATGTTGAGACACTTGATTGGTTTCTCCTACTCAGGAATTGTTTTACTGTGTTGGGTGGAAGGAATCCCTTAATATCCATTACTCTGCATGCTGATTTTTTATTTTCTTCAGGAAACACATTCAGCAGCTTGTCAGGAATGACTTTTGAGTGGAATATTGCAAAGGATGAGAACATGGAAAGTTTAGATCTTTCAAACAGAATAAGGTAAATACTAGAAATGACTAATGAATGCCCAGCATTGACTTTCAGCATTGGGTGGGATGTGGATGAGTAAATTTGGACTCGGCCCAGTAAGGTGTGATTTGTCACTGTACCACCAGTAGGAATATTCTATATTAATTTATGTTTTGGTCTTATATGATTAATTCTGTGAGTAGTTTCAGTTTGCTGAAAGAAGGTTTTCTGTTTGAATTTGTGTATAATAAGCAGTCCAGAATTTGAAATAGTTCGTGATACACTAACCTGTGTGATTCTGAAGTACCTGGAAATCTTTGTCTACCTAGCTAAGGTTATTTTGGTCTTGTCAGGATTTTAAGATACTCAGAAGCTGAGTACTCTCCACCAGACTACATTGTTGATCTGGAAAGAGCAGAAAAACAGGGAGACAGGATCCTAGTGTCAGGAATCAAAACTGGTGCAGCAATTATAAAAGTCCGAATACAGGAATCAATTTATAAGGTGAATAATTATTGTGAAAGTTCCATTTAAAAAAAAAAATCTTAAAAAAAGACTTTCCAGGCCCCACTGAACTTTTTTTTTTTTTTTTTTTTTTTTCTTACAGGTAAATTCTTAGTTACACCGTATTTTCCCATATCTTCTTTCCGGTATTGTTTTCAGTTTTAGTTGGCCGAGAAGTTTAGCTTAGAGTTGGTGAAATCATGCCATTAAACAGTGAATAACTGACTATTCAGCTCTCAGTAGTGCTGATTAAAGAGAGTAATTGGGGATATATGATTGGAAACAAGGGAAATGGAGACCTTCTTTATGGTGGCAGAGTGGTAATGGATTAAACTTGCGTTCTAAATTCATGTACAGACACCAGGGAGCTGAATTATCGCACGTGCTTAGATCTTAGAAGATCTGTCAACTTACTACACTGATAAACTGTTAGTCTGCAGTCATTATCGTTAGGTCCTTGAATTGGTACCGTTGTAAAGAGAGTGTTTTATAGGGAAGTGTAGGTGATTATAAAATTACTGTAATTTGTAAGATAACCTTTTTGCAGAAGTGGAATTGCCTCTTGAGCATTATGAGCTCGAACTTCGTGATCAAGTTGTTGCACCTGGTGGGTCTGACCTTCTTCCAGTGGCCAGCCTGGAGGCCAAGACGGCCACCGTGAGAGCAGTGCAGTTAGGACAGAGTAATCTCGTCTTTGCTCATAAAAGTATCCTTCTGAATACAGTTTAAACTGTGCCTTTAGTCCTGATATGTGGTCATTTTTATTTCCAAGCATGACTACCATAGTTATAAAAAAGTACATATTTTGGAGAGATTGTAAAGACAGAAAAGGATTTTTGTGAAGTCCTATCTTCAGTTTCTCCAAATTCTTTGTAGGGTATTTGCTTTGCTTAGGTTAACTTTTCCCCTTTTCATTCTGTACGTTTCTTCCAGATAGGCATATCAATATGCTCAGTTTCAAGAACCTCATTACTGTTTTTCTGTTGCCACTCAGGAAGAGATCACTTCGTAGCCTGTGCAATTTCTTTTTCTCTTGTTCTTCTGCAATGACAAGGACCCCCTAGCCAATTCATTACACAATGTAGTTCTCATTGACAGGAACAGACACTCTTTGATGTCAGTGGAAATTGGATCAAGCCCCAGATTCCGATACTTGTTCTGTATTTAAACAGCTTGGAGGTTTATAGCTCACTAAGGGCATCTATATTTTCTCTTCATAAAATGAAATCCTTAAAGATTTCCTATATAAGAACGAAGATATTCACATGCGAGCTGCATCTGGATTTCCAAATTGCACTATCTATGTTGTAGAAGCTGGATTTTTAGGTAATGAGAAAATGAAAGATTGATTCTAAAACCCTCACATTTCATTTGAGCAGGAAAATATTGCTTATTAAAAAAAAACAACTGCATTCATTATGTTGGCAGGAGGTACCTAAATCTTAATGGCAGAAGGAGGCTTCTTGTCTTTTCAAGTGCATTGGTTTGAAAATTGAACTCGACTTAAACATGTTTGATGGGTTGCTGTCTAAATCAAAGTAATTAACTAAATTAAAGAGTCCCAACAGAGAATGGGCCTCGTAACTATGGGAAAAAAAAAAAGTCTTGATTGCCTTACAAGCCTCCCCTTTGTGCTGCTTCCTGAACTGTCTATTTTTGTTGAAGAGTGGGTGTTTTGAATTCAAGAATTGTTTATAAATGATACTGTATATTTTGTAGAATGGGTAGTGAAAGCTTCTCTGCTTTGATCACTAATTCTCATCCAGATGAACTTGTTAATGAAAGATATTTTACCACCACTGGCTGTCGATGATGTTTGCAAGTTTCTGAAAGCAAACCAGATGGTTTTATTTCAGGTTTCACTGTCTATCCAGGAGACCGGTGGATTCTAGAAGTGAAGCGAGAGTATGCGATCACTGTAGAAGTTTATGATAAAGACAGCACTAAAGTTTATTTATCCGATGTGAGTATGTGTTTACTTAAAAACAAGAGCAGCTGCCAAAGGAAGTGTCACATACTGTGTTCCTCTCATTGGGGGTGCGTAATGAATATAACACTCATGTCCTTTCCAAGTTTATTGAGAGTATCCAGAATATGTTCCTCTTGAGAATATATTTTCTGCTGACAAATCATCTGTCCTCTGGCCTTGAGTGCAGATCTTCTGGTCTTGGTATAAGTAATATATTTCCCTTTGTCAATTTGCAGAACCTGAGAATAACTCACCAGTTTCCTAAGGAATATTTTGAAGAGTTCATGTCTTCTGATAATGGTTCTTACCATATGGTTCAGGTTCTAAAAAATGGCATCACAGGGATAAAAGCCGAACTGATTTCTGTACTTCTACAGGTAGGATGCAAAGGTGGTAATAACTTTTTTTTCTTTTTTTTTTTTTTTTCTCCAAGTTTGTTCTGTACCACAGGTATAATACTCTTCACAGGTATGTGAAATTAACTGTTTATGATTCAAGTTACACTATATTTATCCTACGTTGCAGGTTATCCTCTATCAAGGATAAGCAATATCCACTGTAGGTCCTGCAATTGTGAACAACCCATTCAAATCTTCTTCAAAGAATGTCAACCTGTTCAAGATCGCTTAAACCATATACTCCTATTACCTTTCTTTTGCTGACAGCTAAAAGCGGGAGTCTGTTTTTCGTGGCAGTGCACTTTGCTTGAAAGATTTTGCCTTCTTTCCTTGTTTACAGGATGGGTCTGAGGCTTATTTACCTGTGCCAGTCCAGCATGAACAAGAAGTGAAGATTTACCTTCCCATCAAGCTGACACCATCTTACCTTGCATTTCCTTATCATCCCACAGAAGTCTTGTATCGATATAAAGTTCAGGTAAAGTAGACTGCAGCTTGAAAAATCATGAAAGTTTTCGTGGTATGAGAGTCTCTTTCAGTAGAAAAATTACAGTGATTATTTTCAATTTCCAACATTTATCTTTTCCCTCTGTTTCTATAGGTTGAAGGAGGCAGTGGCAATTTTTCATGGATTTCTTCTGATCAAACTGTGGTCACCGTCACCGTAAAAGGAGTCGTTACTGGAGGTTTGATCCAGGGGCGCTGCACTGTTCAAGCTAGGGATGTACAGAACCCCTTTCACTATGGTGAAATACAGGGAAGTCTTTTTTTCTGAGCAAATAGTTGTTACAAATGCTGTGTTGTCCAGCTAGAAATTGAAAGGGCTGTGGCATAGTTGTGATACCATTGTCCTGGCCCTTTCTGCTCTCAGACTGCTTCTATTTTGCTAATCTAGGTGTATGTGGAGTGGCTGACAAAGATGGAACTTCTGCCATTTCATGCAGATATTGAGATTGGCCAAGTTTTGGAAGCTCCTCTCAAGATGTATTTCACGGACAGAGAAACACAAGAGAACGTTGCCTTTACTGACTGTTCTCTCTTACTTTTGGACATAAGCATGGAAAAGCAAGGAGTCTTTGTCCTTGCTGAAGACGGTATGGTAGATTAAATCCAGAATACTTGTTAGAATAGTAGTGTTTTAAATTATTTCTCCAAAGTCACGCTCCATTACAATTTGCAAAGATTTCATGATTCTTTAGCAAGGTCTGTGAAAGTCATTGGTAAGTGTATTTTGTTGGAAGAGTCAATTGCAAACAATTTGCAAAGATTTCATGATTCTTTAACAAGATCTGTGAAAGTCATTGGCTTGAAGTGTCTTTTGTTGGAAGAGTCAATTGCAAGGCACCACAGCTAAAGGGATCACAGTTATGGCGGAGATGGGATATTCTGGGAAATCTTTCAGAAAACTGAGTGTGGTTAAGGATTCCATTAAAATATAGCTTATCACTGATAGAAGATCTGCTGCTGCTGCTGCAAAAAAAAATGTTTTTAATTTGTAGGTAATCAGAAGTAGCTTATCACTGATAGAAGATCTGCTGCAAAAAAAAAAAGTTTTTAATTTGTAGGTAATCAGAAGCCTGGTCAGACATTCTGCTCCAGCTTCCTATTAGAAGCAAAATCCTTGGGATACACATTAGTGACAGCAAGTGTTACAGTATACCAGCACTATTTTGAAACAAGTGCCACGTTTGCTGCTTATGAACCTCTGAAGGTGAGAGCTGCTCCATTCACTGACTCGTTCCCTCCCATTTGAATTCTTAACTTGTTTGCAAGTGACTGTATAGCACATTGCTAAATCCTAAATCATTTTTCCCAAGAAACAAATTTGCAGCTGGAAATTTACTGACACCTCCAAGAACAGGCATATCTCATTCTGACAGACTGCTAACAGAAGTAAATCAGTTTAACAGCTTGACCATTGACTTTAGTGTTGTGAAAAAACAGCAACGCATCTTGGGTGATCTTAATTCTCTATGAATTGTGTTGTTGTGTCAATGTCTTACTATGTGTTGGCTAAAATTAGACTTCTCTGATAGCTTAGAATGGATCCATGTAGAATGCATGTAGAAGAACAAATGTTCATATTTTATAACTGTGTAGTTTCTTGTCTACTTCTCATATGTGAGTATGGCCCAGATTCTGCTCCAGCATGGAAAAGTGTTGTAAAGTAGTGTGCATGTCATACAATTCTACCTTAACTATGCTTCATATTACCATAGTCGTAACAAAGTCTTGTTCTAAAAGAGAGTCAGTTTCAGTGTTTCAATAGCTCTTTTTTTTGTGTCTCTCTTCACTTATGTGCCTCACTGGAAAATTGTATTAAAGGTCACAATTTCAGCTCTCTTCTGTTCATGTGATCAGGCTGTAAACCCGGTAGAGTTGGCTTTGGTGACTTGGCAGTCAGCAAAGGAGATGATATTTGAAGGTGGGCCAGGACCGTGGATTTTGGAGCCATCTCGTTTCTTCTCGGAACTAGCTGTGGAGCATGAGGAAAAAATTGAGGTCGTAGAAGTCCGACTTCCAATGAAAAGGAAAGTGAACCAGTATGTTTATTGGGTTGTATGCCTGGAGTTGGGGGAACAGGTAAAGGAAATGTATATATGGCAATTTAATAAGCAGCTGCAAATAATGTGGGCAAAATCACACATTTACTCTCACAGGTGTCATTTCCCTTGACTAGAGAGCACGTAGCTTGAATTAGTGTTATCCAAGCAAATGTATATTTCACTTTTCTTTTTATCTTTGTTTATTCATAATTTGACGCTGTCGTCTCTGCTCAGAAGTGCGTTTAGAAAAGAAGTGTGGATGGCATTTCATAGGGTGTTTCTGTCATGCACGCAGAGGGATGTACATTTTTCACAGTCTGATAGTGACCTGTCCTTACTTCAGGTCTTCAGAGTTAATCCCATTTTGGGACAATACCAACATACCAATTTTATGCACAATGGAAGAATTTTCTGGGTAATCCTCTTGCATGTCCTTGAAGGTTCTCACGTTCCGAGTAGGCAACCAGCCAGGAGTCCTGAACCCGAGTCCTGCTGTGGACGTTATTCAGGTGACATTCGTTTGTGCTCATCCTGCAAGTATGTCTGTGACTCCGGTGTATGAAGTAGCAGTAGATATTCCACCTTGTCCCGTGCCACGACACAGCAAACAACTGGTAAGACTTGAAATGAGCAAGAACCCTACATTCATTTGGGGGATGCTTGGAAATCCAGTATGTAAAAGATACTTTCTGTGTGTTAATTAGCAATACAGAGCACTGTCATTGAAGAGTTCTTGCCTGATAGTGAAATAACTTTCCTCAGAACAAATAACTTGATCAGCCCAGTCGTTTTGCAGACAGTTTTCTCTATTCTGTGCAAGTTGGCAGTAATTGGCTTTCTGAATAGGAAAATTCCCAAAAGGAATGCTAGTAGCCTGAGTCCTTTAGTATTTTGGGCTGATAAAACTGTAGTTGAGATGAAGGGAAAAATGCACTGTTAAACAGAAACCTATCCACCACAATTTGATCGGTTCTTTTTTAGGAAGTGAAAGTGTTTCTTCTTAAATTAGGCACTAAATTATTAATACCAAAGTTCTGTTACTTTGAGTGTAGATCCCCATATCCAGTTTGAGGAATACAGTTTTGGAGCTGGCTATGTTTGATCAACAACAGCGACAGTTTGACAACTTCAGTTCTCTGGTGCTGGAGTGGAAATCATCCAATGAAATCCTCGCTGGCATTTCTGATCCTACAGCCATGAAGATGGTGGCCAAAGATGGGGGGACTGGACAGACCAGGCTGCATGGTACTGCTCAGTTTTGTATGTCGGGTTCCAGCGGAATGAATAGGAGTTTTATCTCTGTTTACATCAGGGCATTCAGTGGGGTTTGTTTTGTTTTCATATCTTGCTTGTAGGGCATCAGCTTCTTGAAGTGCACCAAATCAAAGGAACTGTTCAGGTTGGAGTCAGCTTTGTGAAATATGCAGCAAGAGGTAGCCCAAAAGTGAGTAAGAATAGGTCGTCCTGCTTTAGACTGATGCTCCTAGGGTACTACTCCAGTTTGACAAGCTGATAGTCAAGGGTTGTGCAGTAACATTTTATTTTCAGTACATTTTCGTTTTCAGTACATTAATACATTTTCAGTACATTTTATTTTCAGTACAGTAACATTTTCAGTACAGTAACATGCACATTTCAGGGCAGTAACATTTTAATAACAGTTTCACAATGAGAGTTCTACGGCAGAGTGTGCAGTCCTTTAGGAGAAATGCTCATTTCCTGTCTGCACAATCATCTTTTTATTTTTTTTCTTTTTTCCTGTGTAAAAGAAGAAAATGATGCTTTTTTTAACCTGGAGGAATACTAATATAATTTCTTTCTGACTTTTTTGCATACTTAGGAAGTGTCTGACTTGCTCATCTCTGTTTCTGTGGAGTTCTTGTTGGTGGAAGATGTGACAGTTGTGCCAGATAATGTCACTATATATGATCATCCTGCTGTAAAGGTAAGAACACTATTAGCAAAGCTGTTTTGTGCCTCATCATTCTTTGATAAATTGTGTGGCCTTGTATGATCAAGAAATGTTTCTTACTATTTCTGGAGAGCAACAATCAGCTCTTTCATAAAACTCATGAGCCCATTTCACTTTGTTTCCTCAAACAATAAGCTGCTTTATTTTCCTTTATTATCCAAAGTATTGTTGGATAATAAATGAAGCTTGTATGCTGTGACAACAAGTCATGTCATCATTTAGGAGCCAATTGCTGAGATTTTTATTCTGTTTTCACTTGAGCACTTTTCACTCCTGCTAATAAAAGATGGTGATGACTTCAGATTTTGCAGGCTATTTCATTTGATTTTATTTTCATTGACAGGAGCTATTTGATCTAGTGGAAGGATCTGGATACTTTCTGGTCAACAGCAGTCAGTATGGAATAGTAAACATGACATATTTGGAGGCGGAAAGTGCCAGTGAGGTGATCACATTCAGGATGGTTTGCCCTGGAGAAATTTGGAAGAGAGGTTCATCCTCTGGGAAAAAGAAGAAATAAGTTATTTTCTTCTTTTACCTATGTCAGTCACTTTTGTCCTTACAGCTGGTTATATATATTCCATATGAGTGTCCCAGAACACTTATTCATAAGCAATTATGTAGCTTAGGCCAGATACTTGCTTCAGTGAACATTAAATTAAGATAAATTCTGATTCTTATTGCAAATGTTCCATGTTAATTATGTATAGATACTCTTAATTCAGTTAATACAGTTTCAGTATCAAAATTCCTTCATAGAGTTTTCTGTGTTGCTATATCCTCTAGCAGTAATTGCAGTATAATTGTAGTATAGATTGTTATTCTGTATAACAATCCACAGGAGGATACAAGTTAGCAAGAAATCAAACTTTTGTTGGGCTTTGTTTGAGAGAGAAATTTAATCTCAGTGTCAGAGAAGAAACACTTTGAAATTTTGTCTGCTGCATAGTTTTGAAGTCCAGTTTGCTGGGATGTTTAAAATTATGCAGGACAAGGCACTACTCGCTTTGTTACAGGGAATAATTTTATCATGAACTACGGGCTGTAAAGGTTTTCTTATGTCAAATTAACATAGTTGCTTCCCAACTGTCAACACAGTTGACTTGAGCAATGGCTTTTGAGCAGAACTAAAACCTCACTTGTATCACTTGCAGAGAAGTTAAACACATATACATATATATATATACACATTTACACATATACATATCTCCTTAAAAAATGTGTGTGTCCTCTTCAGTTAATACGACTGTGCCTCTTTGCTTTGTTTTTAGGTCATCCCTTTGATGCCTGGATTTTTAAGCCTGGAAATCTATGATCTCTGTTTGGAATTCTTGGGACCAGTTACAGCCTATCTGCGGGTCTCTGACATACATGAGTTGGAGGTGGATCTCATGGACAAGGTGATGCAGTCTTAGGGAAACTCAGATGTTTCTTAGACTTCATGTGGTAGGAGGTATTTCCTTGCCTACAGAAAGGAGGCAGCACTGAGAGCTTAATCTTAGGATCAAGCATTCTGAGCAGGACAGAGGCAGAGAGCCTTCAAGAAAGGGTATATGAAGTGTTCTTTGCTCCCCATCTTGTTTCTGTCTTTCATCTAGCTCGAGATCGGCAAGTCTCTTCTTGTTACTGTTAGAGTCCTGGGTTTTGAGCAGCTTCCATTCCAGAGTAAATACTTCAAGTACATGAAGCTGAAACTGCAAGCAGCGTCTCCTATTGTTACACTTGTGTGAGTATTACAGCTGGCAGGCTGGAACAGTCTTTTCTTAAGTGCTCACTGGTAAGTATCCATCCTGTACTGAAAAACAGAACTGATAATTACAGAACAAAGCCTGTTTACAACCCCCTAGCTATTCACTGTTTAACTGTGTAAATTTTGGTGGAGGGTAAGAGCAGGTATCAGCTTTGTCAGTGCGTTCTCAGGAGAATAGGTTTTTTTGGTGGGATTTCATTTGTATTTGTAAAGCTCTTTGAGAATCTCGCTTGCAGCTCCCACTGTGCATTCTTCCATATTACTACCATAAGCCTATTAAATACATCTGAAACGTAGTTAAATATATAGTGGGTAAAATACCACTGAAGCACATATTTCTTAGTGAATACTGTGGTATTTTGCCATGCAGAGCTCTGTTCATCATAAATATAAGTCTTTGGCTATTTCTGAGCGCAAGCCTTGGTATTATAGTTGTCACAAACTCGCCTATTATAGTCGTTACCCAAGTTATCTTATAGTTACAATAGAGGAAATAAAAAGTGAAGTCATGGTAAAGTGTCTTCACAGGCAAATGGAAGAAGTGGACGAGTATTCTGAAGTTTACATGCTCCAAGCTGTTGCTGTCGGACAGACAACTGTGGTAGCTACAGCCTGGAACAAAATGGGAAGGAAGTTTACTTCTCCTCCTCGGAAAGTTGAAGTAAGAATCCACAACTTTTAAATCTGCTTCTGTTTTTGACTCAAAGTTCAAAGTTCTTCAGCCAAAAGAAATATAAAAAAGCCCACTTATGCGATACTGTTCTAAAGGCCTGATGTTCTGTGACTTTCAAATTATCCAAAAAGGATCATATAAATAATAATTGTGGGGATGCATTGATAATGGTTCTGCATTTTGGCAATCTATCTTCTCCTAGTACTTATATTTACAAGGAAGGATCATTTTGCTCACGAGAAATCTCTGTATTCTGTAATAAGTTCTCTAGAAAGATGTGCCAAGATCTACTTACGCTTATGTGATAACACCAGGATGGCCTTTGTTGAGTTCTGTCTAGTGATGTAACAGCAAAAAGAAATGTGTGTAACAGTTAATATTTTTCCCTTTCTTTTTTACCAGGTCTTTCCACCATTTAAACTGGTTCCAAAGAAAATTATGCTTATCCCACAAAATATGATGCAGGTGAGCAATATTTCTTCTGAGCAAAGGTCTGTGTGTTTTCCTCGGGGAAAATCACATTGTTTATTTGAATATATGGCAGGTGATGTCAGAAGGTGGTCCCCAGCCACAGTCCATCATCCACTTCTCTATCACTAACCATTCTGTGGCTGAGGTTAACAGGCTTGGACAAGTAACTGCAAGGAGAGTTGGAACAGCCACAATACAGGGTGCTATTCAGGCTGTTAGTGAAGACACAGGAAAAATTACTGTTTTTTCACAGGTATCTTTCCCTTACATTCTGTATTATCTCATAATTTCCCTTCTGTTCAGAAATTATGTTAATGGTTTGTCAGTTTTTTTTTGTTTTTTTTTTAAGTCATAACAGTAGCCTTGACCTTGAAAATCAGTCTGGCCTGGATAAGATTCCATTAATAGCATAATTTAACCTCATACTTGCACTGTGATGACCTCAGAGGCATCTCTAAAGTTCCTATTTCAGTTTATTTTGCTTCTTACAGTAACCAAGAAATGAGGCTGTACAAAGTTGGATGGAAAGTTAGAATCTCTTTGTAGACTTTTGTTCTCTTGCTTGCTCATGGATTAAGTACTGTCTTTATATCCCAGAAGGTGGCCCCAGTGGGGTATAAAGACAGTATGTAATCCATGAGACTAGTTAATAATCAGATAGCTTTCCAAGAAACCAAATTGTGTTAGGATTGTCAGAAGTTACCAGCGTTTTAAAGGTGCCAGTTTCTAGAAATGTGCCAGCGTGGCAATGTGACCAGCTTGCAGGAGTGGAGGCTGCTGCAGATGTACTAGCTAAACCTTCCCTGCTTGGCTAAAAAACCAGCCCTTAATCAAGATACCGACTTTCAAAGGTAGAGCTAGAGACTGCTCGAGACTGTTGAGTTTAGCCGGGTGTCTCGGAGCTTAGTCATTGACTTATTTTGCAGGATGAAGTGGAATTAGAAGTAATTCAGTTAAGAGCAGTAAGAATCCATGTTCCTGTCACAAGACTTATAACAGGCACTGAGGTAGGTGTTCAGTTGATACTGAAGACTACTGTTGGCAAGAAGTTAAGAATAACATTCTCAATCTAATAGGCTCGTGTGATGTCTAAGTTACTGTAGGTTTGAAATTTATGATAACACACATAATTCTCCTCCTCCCAATGTATGGAGGTTGACTTTTAATTTCTATTAAAAGTGCATACATTGACCCTCAATCCTTTGTCTGCTTGTCCCATGGGATTGAGATGAGAAGCACATATTACAGGAAACACGAGATGATTTCCCATTTCTGTGGTGACAGTATTCTTCCTTTGCAGATGCCAGTCTACGTGATGGGACTGAGCAATTTGCTGAATCCATTCTCCTTTGCTAATGCTAACCCGGAGCTGATATTCCAATGGTCAGTGAGCAAAAGAGATGTCCTGGACCTTCTTTCTCGACAAACGGAGGTATGGAGTAAACCACTAAGAATGGGTCTAAGAGCCAGAACTGTTATTAAAAGTAGTGGGAGATCAGGCAGGCAACATTTAGAATTCCTAACTCAGCAGACTCGAGAGCTCTGTGGGTTAAGCACTATCTTCCCAATCTCACTTAATTAGTGTACTAAGCTAGGGCATCTCATGGCTTTTCCATCTTTTCTCTACCCAAATCTTCAAAGCGTGCAAATGTTCTAGCCATTTAACCCAAGGATTGGATGATCTGTTGTGAAAACTCTGCTTTTTCTCTACCAGGTTTCTGTTCAGCTTCCATCAGAGAGTAATTTTGCTATGGTCATATATACAAAAGCAGCAGGTCGAACCACTGTTAAAGTGACGGTGCAGTGTCTGAACGCGTCTGCTGGGCAGTTTGAAGGAAACCTCACCGAGCTGTCAGATGAAGTGCAAATCATGGTGGGTACCACTAGTTCTGCACATCATCAGAGGTAGCAGATCTTGAGTGGCCACAAATTTGTGGGCAGCGTGTGTAGACAAATGCATCCAACAAACTTCATTTTGGGCATAAAGAGGTTTACAGTGCCTTTGGTTCATGTCTTTCTGTTCTGTTTCTCTGTGTAACGGTATCTTTTCTGCCTGTAGGTATTTGATAAGCTGCTACTATTCTCTCCTACCTTTTCCACTCAGCAAATTTTGATGTCTACAAATTCCCAACTTAGGCTGCTCACAAACAGGTAGACTCCTGATGCTTCTCATTGCTTTAGTGACCATCATGTAAAGTGAAAGAAACTGTCAGCCTGTCAGAATCTCACAAACAGAATCTCATTTTTCTTCTTGGTTAAGGGAAGGGGCTGCATTTGTGAGCACTCAAATCTTGCAGTGTTACCCCAACTCTTCTGTCCTTGAGGAACATGATCAGGGTCTCCTGAGGGCCGGAGCTGTCACAGGCACTGCGGTGTTGGAAGTGACTTCTCTAGAACTCTTTGCAATCAACCAGACAGTCATAACTGGTGTCCAGGTAAAATTTCCCATATATACCCATGTATCCTTCGGAATGAATAGGCAATTATTAAAAAAAAAAAAAAAAAAAGACATGGACAAACACTGAGACTAAATGTTTTTTTAAAACTTTTTGGAAAAAAAAAAAGTAAAGCGTGGGCTCTTGCTTACCTGTTTGTTTTCACAGGTGGCACCTGTGACCTACTTAAGGATAAGTGTCAGTCCCAAATTGTATACAAGCAACAGCGTATCACTGCATGCACTTCCCCTTGGAATGTCCTTAACCCTTACGGTCCAGTTCTACAACAACATCGGGGAGAAATTCCATGCCCAGAACACGCAGCTTTATCTAGCCATGAACAGGTACAGTCTTGAGAGTGTTGGCATGTGGCTAGTAGAGAAATCAGAGCTGGCAATGGAGATTTTTACATCACAACTCGTAATACAGATGAAAAGTTGCACCTCAAACGTGGCATCTGTTTGAAAAGAGCTGCCAGATTTGAGAGCCGTTTCACTTGATTGCCAGTGCCAAAGCAGCACTTGGATTTTTATACATAAAATATGTAACTCAGGATGTGTAAAATTTAGCAATTTTCTCTTGATTAGGCATCTTTGTTTTCAGAGATGACTTGCTACTCATTAGACCTGGGAATAAGAATTACACATACATAGCTCAGACTGTGAACAGAGGAGTGACGCTGTTGACAATCCAGGATGAGAAGCGCCAAGGGGTGGCAGACTATATCCCTGTGCCTGTGGAGTATGCCATCAAGCCAAATCTCTCAAAATCCATTGCCATAGGAGATGTCATCTGTTTCAGCTCCCCCCTTGTCACCCAGGATGGTTTGTATGCTTTCTCCATAGCCTCTGCTTAGGTTGTTAAGCAGTGAGACTTGTTATTATTTTCTGGTTAGGTTTCAAAAACTCAGCAAAATCAGATTGGCAATATTTTAATGGGAGAACTCTGCAAATACTGAGCATTTTTAAAATAAAAGGTAACCAGAGAGTCTTCCAAGGAATGTAAAAAACAAAAAAAACCCTTTCTTCCATTGTATGAAAGTTCATTTGAGCATTCTTTTTATTCACTGAATCCCAGAATTAACCTTTGAGTTTATGATCCTAGTTTATTCAAGTAAATAAGATGTACAAGCTCTCGGTCCTGGAGAACAAGCAGGCAGTGGTTCGGTGCATTTGAGATGTGGGGAGAGGGCTCATGTAATATGAGTATTTAAAGCAATTCATTCTGGGAGATCTAAAAGGAAAAGACCTGTGGATTTCAGTTTACTATATGAACTCCCTGAATACACCCAAAAAGAGAGAGGCAGGTGTTTATTTTCAGTACAGTAAATAAATCCTTTTCATTAGAGATCTCTCCATGATCACTAATCTTCTCCAGCAGAGACCACTTGGCAAAATCTCACTTGCAACTTGACGTTTGTAGGTGAACCTGGGATGTGGCACATTTCCCCCACGGATATGCTTGAAATAGACCCTGTGAGTGGAGCAGCATTTGTGAAAAATACTGGAACAGCAACAATCTTCTATGAGATCCCAGGGATAGAGAAAACATATAGAGAGGTATTTGTCCCACTACTGTGGGAGAAGACTAGCTGGCTACAGATGCTCTTCAGTGTTCTCGGTAGTATAAGACTGATTTTTTAAAATAAAAAAGATTCAATTGAGAGAGTTTTGTAGCATAGCAGAAGAAAAACTAAGCAGTAAAATTCCCTACTGTGTTTTGAATCAACCAATGTTTTGGACACAATTCTATTCTTATTAATATTCCAGATAATTGTCAATGGTTCCTCAAGAATAAGTCTCCAGATAGGTCAGAAAAACTATTTAACAAATATTCCAGATTCTTCTGCATTCCAAGTTCTTGTTGCCACAAGCAGCGGAAGAGAAACCCTGAAGGGTAGGAATTCATATTACAGTCATCTAGTTTATTAATAAAGCATAATTTGAGTCTTTTGCTCCCTAAACTGTGAACTACAACCCCATCTGTGTAACACCAAAGCCATGAGCTACTGTTGAGAAATAACTTTCTGGTGAGGAGACATGAGTAGAGAGGAAACATCGCAGAGTGACAATTGAACAACTTTGTGTGTTAAGGGAGGTTTCACCTTGTTTTGTTAAAGTTGTCCATTGAGAGATGCCTATTCATTTATTTGTTTTCTCCTCTAGGCCCTTGCAGCTCTCTCCAGTTCAGTGTAATCACAGATCACCTTCACCCAGAGTCGTGCTTGGTATGTCAAGTAGAATTCAGCAATAATGCATTAGATGTATCAGCAAGTGAAGTATTTCTTGTGCGGTCAGAGTTCAGCATCCAGAAAGGTAGGTATGACCTCTCAAACAGAGTGCAATACAGGGAATTTTCCTGTTTGTTTTTTTTTCCCTCTGGTGATTTCTTTCCCCTTCATTTCAGACTGTCAATAACAGTACCAAATTTGCAAAATGTTTTTATGCTCGTTGAGACTAAGAATGCATGAATTATCTCTTTTAATCATTCCTGCCTTCTGCCCCCAGTAACTCTTGTGAGAGTTTTGCCCACAAACTGTCTGTTTACACTGGCTTTTCACTGTCTTGAATTTAGGTCTTTATGTCTGTGTAATCACTGCTAAGCCCCAGCCTGATGAAGTCCTCCTGGCTCTGAGTTTTGCTGACGCCCCTGTGTTTGTGATGGTCTCTCTCTCCAGCGGACAGCACACGGGTGAAATGCAAAGAATCCTAGTTCCCTTCCTCCCTGCGTTTTATGTCAACCAGTCAGAATTAGTTTTTAGTATCAAAGAGCTAAACGGCATGCTAAGAGTGCTGGGAGCTGACAAAGTGTTAGAAAGACTGGAGGTACGTGGAAAGTGTTCTCTCTGCCCATAGCCCCGGGGATGGAAATACGTAGATCCAGACTTGTCAGAAGGCACTGGTGGAAAGAATGTGGTTTTGGATATGCTTAGCCCTGTCTTAACAGACAGGTGTTTGGATCACGTAAAACAATACTGGGAAACAGACTGTTAAATAGTTTCCATGTTTGAAAGCACAAATGGGTTGTGTTTTGAGCATTTTTCTTCCCTCCTTACAGAACATGTGTAAAGACAACCTTACAGAAGTACATAATAGTGAGTCAGAGAGATGACTGCTTTTCATTTTGAAGCATTGAGTTTTTGTCTGCTTTGCAAGGTTCAGTCCAGCTCCCCTGCTATAGTAGTGAGGTATCCTGAATATTCCCTGGACGTGCCTGGACTTGTCTCCTACCCTGTCAGCGTGGCCAACTTGAGCTCCCTCCAGCAGAGGCCAGCACCAGCCCTCATCAACATCTCCTGCGCTCTCACAGGCCAGAGGGTTGCGGTCCAAGTGAGAGTCCTCCCCGAGGAGCCTGCACAGGGTAAACAGCCAGCGGGGCTTCAGGTGATGCTGCTCTGGTGTCAAAGCTCTGTCCTACATGAACCAAATTGGCCAAAAGCATTACTGCTCCCACCAAAACAAAGCAGACAGCATTCATGTCTCCATTCCCCAGCTCTAAAGGGCATCAGTTCTCCCTTGGCACCAGCTGCCCTTAACGGGCACTGAAAAGACTGCTTTTTCTTTGAATTTCTTAAAAATATCTGGGTGCTCCCCCTACACACTACTCACTCTGTCCTTTAAACCTTAGGTCAGTGCAGTGACATAGGAATCATTCGACAGCTGATGAGCTCTTACCAGATTCTTCTCTTCACTCTTTTTGCTGTTCTAGCATCAACAGCTGTTATCTTTCTCAGTAAGTGAAAGACAGTTTAGTTAAGCTTAAGCTTGTTTTTCTACTTTCTTTTTCATCTTCAAAGCAAATTCTGAAGCTCTGCTTTACCCCTTGCCTTATTTTGAGCCTTAAATTGATGTGGTTCTTAGGTCAAATCTTCCTGGGTTAGATCTGTTCCAGCAGCAATGGGTTTGATTTTTCTTAAGCATTTAAGTAGTCACCCCTTTAGCTATTAGTTGATCCAAAACTCAAGAGGAAAGGGGCTGACAAAGAAAGCGTTTCAACTGCAACACTGTCACGGTAGCCTAAAGTTCAAGCTACTGTTCTTGCACATGGCTTAAAGGTGCTCCGTGATCTAAGCAGGTTGTTATTTTGACAGCATACAACGCTTTTTTGACCAGAGTTCAAACAGTGCCTATTGTGTACGTTCCTGCCTCTCCTGCATCTCAGACAGGTAAACCAGGGCCTTTCTTGGAGAGAAGTTTTGTAATCTTGTATACACGTTAATAGGGAATATTCAAACCAGCTTCCATCTCCTACAGGTTCCCCACCTGGAAGAAGCAGGACTCAGCTGTGGCTCTGGAGTGTGCGGAGATAAACTACATGTGCAGCACTGAACACTGAACAGCGCGAGGCCCTGCAGTGCACCAGGGCCCTGTGGTTTGGGCCCAAATAAAGGGAAGTGTTTCAGTATAATGAATGGAAGTCTTTGAGTGTCAGATCAGATTACCAGAACTACTCAGAACACACAGCTTTTTTCTTTTTTTTTTTGTTCCTCAGTCCAGATAGATTCAGAGGGCAAAATCAAATTATTCTTGCATTTTATCCAAAATTTATTGACTGAGAGATGGGTGGGGCTACAGGGACAGCATGGAAGTCACATTCTAGGTTCACATTCCGCGTTCACCTGGCTGAAGCACTTGGGTCACTCCTGAATCAAATGCCATGGCTCCTCCTCTGCGCAGCCATCTGTGCACATAGTCCCAACCATCTCGGATGCCTTTATTTTAATGCTGCTTCCGCCTGAAGGAGCATCCTAGACGGAGAAGGAAAGAGGCAGAACAGTGAGCAAATCCGCTGGCGTTTCAGCCTCTTTGAAAACATAATTTGTCAGTTATGCAGCACGTAACGCCAAGCACAAAACCCACAGATGAGCACAGAAAGTGTAACAGAAAACAGCATAGTAATAAAGTGGCTGTTTTCGCTCCTCCGAGCAGCTCATTGACAAGCCAAAACTGACCCAAGAGCTTAAAGCACCGCAGACCACCCAGCACAGCACGAGGCCCAAAGCCGCCTCCCCGCGGCGCTACCCACCTTCTGTGAGCCTCGCCTTGCCCCCCGTGGGCTGGCACAGCACCGTGGAGCAGCCCACGCACAGCACCACGGTCTGCGCGTGGCTGAACACCGTGGTGATCTTGTAGCAACCTGCGCGACAGGAGGCAAAAGGGAAGGGCCCTTTAAGCACGCGGGGTAACGGGGGCAAAGTCCCTCGGTGCCGAGGGAGGGACGCGAGCGACGCC